ATAAAGGTAATTGAAGAAAATAGGGCTCCTTTTGTGCATCTTTTCAATACATTCCCAAATACAAATTCCTTTTTTGGCATGTTTATCTCCTTTATCTTCAAACAATGTCCCTAGGGAAAAGAATAGCAGCAAAAAGATAGGGTTAAGATAATACATAACAAACACTAAAGCAAGGCCAAACAGAATTTCACAGACTAAATGTACAGTAAAATCTACTATCAAAAGCCACTGCAATAAGAGATTGTGTCTGATAAAACAACTGCTGTGATTTGTAACCGCAAGTATTCAGTAGTGTTATATTTATAAACAAGTTCTGAAATTTACTAAACTACTTTACTGTACTTATGAATGTACCTTTCTGCCTGCAGCTATGCTGACTCGGCAGACCACCAAGCCCTGCTAACTGATTCTGCTCCCCACTACCCGAGGTTACCAGCCCTTCTTCCAATCTGCTGGACCAGCTGCACCTGAAATGATTTATTAACTCATTTCAGGGAAAACAAATCAGACTAGTGTAAATAACTTAGCTACAGATTTGTGCTATCTGAAATTACTTTGGAAGGACATAAAATTTATTCAAAGACTACCAGAAACAGGATTTTATATTGCATTAAATGGTAGTTGAAAGCCAACCACCCCTAAATAAACAAACTACCCCTCCCAAATTGTAGAACCATGTAAAAATCCAGGTTGGAAGGAACCACAGGATGTCATAGACTCTCCTTGCTTTTGTTCAAATGAAAGTAGATAAAGAAAATTAACTTTTTTGTTGAAATAAAATGGTTGCTTAAGCTTAGTCTGTTCCACAGTTACCTCCGTTTTTAAGAAAAGCATTAAAATTGACCATATGTCATGAGAACTGCCCCACAAAGCAGTGAAATTCAGAGCACAAAAGTGTTTTGTTTAGTGAACAAATTCCAAGAACAGCCTCAACTGTGGTTCTGTAGTCTTATTAAGAGATGTCTGAGGGCAGATAAGGCCTTGGAACCAGTAAGGTTGCACACAATAGATGGAAATATAGAAGAAGATTAAGACTGAAGAGAACACAAGAGAAAGAAGTGAGAGATAATATATGGAAAGGCTTTCTTTTCCTGAAAGCTCATGCACTCTCTGAAGGATTCCCAAGGACTTTGTTTCTGTTAAAATAAGGTATTTAGTAGGGGAAATGGAACCATGTGGATAAATTGCTAAAAACCCCTGAAGCATGGCACTAATTTCTTGCACTTTCTCTTAGTCCCATCGGTGGCATGGCTCAGGAATCATCCAATCAGAAAATTCTACACCTTCCATTTTGCTCTATATTCCTGAAATGGAATTCGTTACATCATCACCAAGCAACTACTGGACCATCTCAAACTAGGCAAATTTTTGTAGACCAAATATTGATGAGAAAAATTCTGACACCTGAAAAATCAGTATGCAATAAATATGCATCATACATACCATGCTCTAGTCTTTCGTAGTCTGAATCCAGAAGAAATGTCTTAAATCTATTTGATATGTGATGAAAAGCCAGAAACTTCAGATAATACTGATTGAACTCAAACTCTGTTGGGTATTGGTTATGAATCTAATAAAAAAAAAAAGGAAAAAAGAGGACATTGAGGTAAATACAAATAGATATGAAAGAAATAATAATGTGAAATATGACAGCAAAATAATTCCCCTGTGAAACTTTAATTGGAAGGTTTTACAGTGGAATTCTTGATATTGCTCAGAATCCAATGTAGCAGACGTGGAGAGGTAATGCTGCAAATGATGTTCCATCTATGATTACTGAAAGAGCTAATATCTGAAGTTCTTGATAGTCTACAAATATTTCTTCCTTTTCAAAATATGCACTAACAAACTACAGGGGGTTGGTCTCTTCTCCTGAGTAATAAGCAATAGAACAAGGGGAAATGGCTTTAAGCTGCACCAGGGGAGGTTTGGGCTGGATATGAGGAAGAATTTATTTACTCAAAGGGTTGTCAGGCATTGGAACATGCTGCCCAGGGAGGTGGTGGAGTCACCATACCTGGAGGGGTTTAAGAGACAGGTAGATGTTGTACTTAGGGACATGGTTTAGTGGTTTTGGTAGAGCTAGGACAAAGGTTGGACTTGATGATCTTGAAGGTCTCTTCCAACCCAAACTGTTCTATGCTTCTATGATTCTACAGTACGAACTCCCCCACCAACATACTGAGGAGGTGTCTTGCTATTATTCCTTTGAAATAGTATAAAATATGTAATATCTTAAATTGTTATCCTCAGTTAAGCTTGAGATCTGACTAATTCAGTGAATGTTTCCAACAGGAGTCAGGAGCAGATGTTTAAGACTACAATACAAGTATCAGAGTACAGCCCTGTGGGATAGTTGGCTCTGCACAACTGCATCCTCTTGAACATTGTCAAAAAGAGCCTGGTGTAAGATTTTAAACATGAAGTTTAATATTAATGGCAAAATTTTTAGCATTAATTATTGATGATATTTATATTTGATATCCATATAAAATTCAAGATTCTAAAAATCTTGATCAGATATTGCTCACAAAAATTTCATGTGTTAATTTCAAATTTAAAATTTACTCTTCAAAGAGTAAACGAATTGTGATCTTTATTTTCATAATTAAGCATGGTAATTAACTGAAAATTCCCAATTACAATGGAAATAAGTGCAGTTTGGAATTAAAAAAGAAATTGCTCATTGAACTTCACATTTGAAATATATCCCACTGTGCTTTGCCTAGATTCCTATTAAACTTGTAAAATTCCTCTGTCTCTGCAATCTTCCTGTGTCTTGTCTTCTGCATTCCCACCTCTCTTATTTTCCCATTCCATCTTTTCTCACTAATCTCTACTTACCAGTTCCTCAAGAAAGAAAAGGGTTTTTTAAAGTACTTATGGAAACTAGTATTAGACTACTTGAAGCTCCATATGTTTAGATTTTCACATTGCCAGCTGAAAAAAACCCCCAACCAGCTAAATAACGAAAAAAATATGCATTTAGCAAGGAAAGGTTTTCTACCAAACATACAACAGTGACAGGGAAATCCCTTGAAAGGACCTATAAACACATCCACAGCATTTCAGTCAGAGAATCTGCTGTCATCATATCTCAATATTAGCTTGCGGCTACGCATTTAAAATGCTAAGATACTTTAAGATATCTCAGTTCAATATACCCACACTTACTTTATTCCCACTTCTCCCCTAATACAAATGAC